AGGCGAGTTTTGGCTTGTGTGGTTTCTCGGTCTTCTCTTTATGATCGTATCAGAGAGCGTTAGTATGACAACCCCCATCTGCTTATCCTCAAGGACAAGGTTCAGCATGGCGATGCCAAGGAGGTCACTATTGGAGATGATGGTATATTACGGATGCAGGGCAGGCTATGTGTGCCCAATGTAGATGGTTTGCATGAATTGATTCTCCAGGAGGCTCACAGTTTGCGGTACTCCATTCATCCGGGTGCCACCAAGATGTATCAGGAATTGAGGCAGCACTATTGGTGGAGGCGGATAAAGAAGGACATAGTGGAATATGTAGCCCAGTGCCTAAACTGTTAGTAGGTGAAGTATGAGCATTAGCGGCCTGGTGGATTGCTTCAGAGGTTAGAGATCCCAGAGTGGAAATGGGAGCGGATTACTATGGATTTTGTTGCTGGGCTTCTATGAACTCAGAGGAAGTTCGATGCAGTTTGGGTGATTGTGGATAGGTTGACCAAGTCAGCTCATTTCATTCCAGCGGTGACTACTTATTCTTCAGAGCAACTGGTTCAGGTTTATATTCATGATATTGTCAGGCTTCATGGCATGCCGATATCTATCATCTCTAACCAGGGTATGCAGTTCACATTGCGGTTCTGGATGACCGTTCAACATGAGTTAGGCACGCGGGTTGAGTACAACATTTTACCCTCAGACGGACGGACAATCCGAGTTCACTATTCATATATTGGAGGATATGCTTTGTGCATGTGTGATGGAGTTTGGGGGTTCTCGGGATCAGTTCTTGCCACTTGTAGAGTTTGCCTACAACAACAACTACCCGTCGAGCATTCAGATGGCCCCGTTCGAGGTTTTGTATGGTAGACAGTGTCGGTCTCCAGTGGGTTGGTTTGAGCCGAGCAAGGCTAGGCTATTGGGTACAGACTTGGTTCAGGATACTTTAGAAAAGGTTAAATTGATTCGGGACCAACTTCGTACAGCCCAATCCAAACAGAAGAGTTATGCGGATCGGAAGGTTTACGCTGTTATATTCATGGTTGGAGAGAGGGTCTTGCTCCAAGTTTCACCCATGAAGGGTGTTATAAGGTTCGGGAAGAAGGGAAAATTGAGCCCTTGGTATATCGGGCCTTTTGAGATTCTTGAAAGGATTGAAGAGGTGGCCTACAAGCTTGCACTACCACCTAGTCTAGATGCAGTTCATCCAGAGTTCCATGTTTCTATGCTCCTGAAGTATCACGATGATCCATCTCATATGTTGGATTTTAGCTCAATCCAATTGGACAAGGATCCGTCTTATGTTGAGGAGCCGTTGGCCATTTTGGATAGGTAGGTTCGAAAGTTGAGGTTGAAGAACATTGCTTCAGTGAAGATTCAGCGGAGGTGTCAGCCAGTCGAGGAGGCGACTTGGGAGACCGAGCATGACATGCGTAACAGTTATCCTCATTTTTTCACCACTCCAGGTATATCTCTATACTCGTTCGAGGATGAACGTTTGTTTTAAGAGGGGGAGGATGTAACGACCCAGCCGGTCGTTTTGAGTGTATTATCCCTAATCCCCTATTTATTGCCTTCTCTTCTTTATACTGTGGTTACGTGACTTGTCGGGATGTTTGGTTTTAGTTTCGGGTGAGTTTCGGAGTGAAATGGGACACATAGTCCCTAAAATAAAAGTTTAAGTTGTATAAGTCGACCGTAGTTGGACTTATGTGAAGACACCTCGGAATGGAGCTTTGACGGTTCCAATAGCTCTGTAGGGTGATTTTGATCTGAGGAGCGTATCCGCACATTGATTTGGAGGTCCGTAGGTCGTTTCGGCGTAAATTGGCGAAAGTTGGAAGATTTTGGGAAGTTAGACCGGGAGTGAACTTTTTGATATCGGGGTCGGACTCTGATTTCGAAAGTTGGAGTAGGTACGTAATGACAGTTATGACTTGTGTGCAAATTTTGAGGTCAATCGGACCTGATTTGATAGGGTTCAGCATCGAATGTAGAAGTTAAAAATTTATAAGTTCCTTAGGCTTGAATTGGGGTGCGATTTGTATTTTTGATGTTGTTGGATGTGATTTAAGGCCTCGAATAAATTTGTATAATGTTTTAGGACTTTTTGGTATGTTTGGTTGAGGCCCCCGGGGCCTCAGGTGTAATTCAGACCATGTTCGGCGCATTTTGGATCATTGAGGAGTTGTTGAATCTAGTGCTTTTGGTGTTCTTCTATGTGATCGCGATTGCACTAACACGATCGTGAATGGTAAATTGGCATTGGGGAGAATTTGTTCAATACGATTGCTTGAAGAGGCATGCGAGCGTGGAAGGCAAGCATCCAGTGAACCATGAACGCATGAAGCCAGACGCAATTTCTTAGCAGGATTGTGGGGTCTGCAGTTCACACGTTTTCTTTAATGCGGTTGCGTGGGGCGTTACGCGATCACATAGTTTGACGAGGCAGTGGTACGCATTCGCATGATATTTTTTGCGTTCATGCAGAAGCTTTTTGAGTTGTTGGTAATTTTGTTCTTCGGTATCGCGAAGGAATTTCCGTGATCGCGTAGTGTAAATAACTCGACAGCAGACTTAAGTTTCAAAATTGAGGGTTTATTTCATATTACTCAATTTGCACTTTGAGAGCTCAGTTTAAGGCGCATTTTTGAGGGATTTTCAGAGGGATTGTTGGTTTAAGAGTTCTTAACTCGTTTTTGATTAAATTTCACTAATCTATCTTGGATTTCATCATTTAATTAGGGATTTGGGTTGAAAAATTGGGGAAAATGGACGAAATTTCTTAGGCCAAAATTTGGGGATTTGAGCAAGATTTTGATATCGGATTTGGGTAATTCTTGTATGGTTGGACTCGATATCGAATGGGTGTTAGAATTTTATAATTTGTGTCGGGTTCCAAGACGTGGGTCCGGGTTAACTTTTTGAGGCGATTTTTCAATTTTTTGCTAAGATCATAATTTATTTATTTAAATTAGTTTCCTATAGTTATATTTATAGTATGAAATTATTTTGACTAGATTCAAGCCGTTCGGAGTTGGAAAATCGAGGGAAAGACCATCTAATTGGTTGATTTAACGTGGGTTGAGGTAAGTGACTTGTCTAACCTTGTGTGGGGGAAATTCTCCTTAGGATTTGGTACTGTTGTGATAATTTGTGATATGTGAAGGTCGTGTAAACAAGGTGACGAGTGCGTGTACGGGCTAAATATTGAGATTCCGATTTTAGCTACGTAGTTTCTTTTTCATGCCTTAATTGAGTCACTTTAGCATGTTATAATTACCATGTTTAGCCTAATTTCACATGTCTACTTGTCTTATCTAATACTTTCAACTTGTACTACATGTTTAGTTTGATTACTTGCTTTCTAAATTCTGTATTCATTATTTAACTGTGAAAATTCTTTACTTGAAATTTGCTTCCTTGATATATCTTGCTGTTGAGTTGCAAAGGCTGTGGTTTCTATTGAAGCAAGGTGTAAGTTGTGAAGTGTCATTTTATTTAGTTGTTACATTTTGGCTTCCGTGTTATTGTTGAGGTGATTGTTTGGTTGTGTGCACGAGGTTTCTGTCGTGCGGTTGTTACTATTTGCACAAGATTTCCGTTGTGCCGTTGTGATTATTGATACGCATGCGTTGGTATAAGGTCGGGGTGTTGAAACGCATGCAGTAAGATAAGGTGGGCTTGATACGCGCAGCTAGTAGGGGAACTACTAGAAGTCATGCGGTGTGATAAGGTGGGCTAAAATGCGGGGTGCTATTTCGGGAAAAAATAATTTTCAAAACTAAATGTAAAGGCTCCCGCGGTGATATAAGGAAAGACTGTGATTTATTTTTATGATTTGGGACTATGAGGCGGTACCTTGGGAGTGCCCTTGTTGATCTTCTCTATTTGCTGTATTATTTGGTTGTCGTTTCCTTAACATATAAAATCCTTATTTTCCTTTCATGATTTTATTAGCTTCCTTGATTTTCGTGTTGTTACTTTCTGTAATTTCTTTATTGTTTCCCTTTCCTGTTATTTCGGTATATTATTATATTTTATGTATTGCTTCTTATTATCTCTAGTAGGGCCTCGACCTGACCTCGTCACTACTCTACCGAGGTTAGGCTTGACACTTACTGGGTATCATTGTGGCGTACTCATACTACGCTTCTGCATATGTTTTGTGTAGATCCATGTACATCCTATAAGCCTCGGCATTAGCGCGTTGAGTTGCTTGTTTTGAAGACTTCAAGGTACACCTGTTCGCATCTGCAGACCTTAGAGTCCCCTTCTACCCTGTTCTTTTCTTATTTCTTTACATTTTATAGACAGTGATGTATAGGAGTGTTCAGTACTGTATCTAGAGCTTGTGACTTATATTTTCACCAGGTTTTGGGAGATTTACATATTGAGTTGCAAATTTTTTTTTTTTGAGATTTAAATTATGATTTCAGTTATTCCGCATGTTTGTTAGGCTTACCTAGTCTTGAGACAAGGTGCCGTCACGATATCCAACGGAGGAAAATTGGGGTCGTGACATAGAGGATCTACTGGTATTTCATAAGTCTACAGAAGGCTCTCCCTCGTGTAATAAGAAGAACAATAGTTTTCATAAGACTCGTTCCTGTGCCTCAAAGTCGCCAAAGTATGTGGGCAAGGAAGTTCATCAAGCTAGAATTGTCCACAACTATATCTCTTATTTTGAAGGCAAACAATGAAGCACTACACACCATCTATCACAGTATGGATGTAATCTGTTGAAGCCCTTACCTACATTTTATTACAAACATACAACAAGTTGTCAATACTTGATAAAATACAAAATAACTACAATTGTACAACGACATATCTATAATTATCTGTATATATTTATTTTGATGAAATCAATTATCTGATGTTATGGACCATAACTTACTCTCATCTTCTGTGATAATATCGTGTTGTCCTCCAACTCTTTGTTGTATTGTTTTTCCAAGGTATGTGAACGTACCCTTTGCATTTAATAACTTTTCATTAGTCTAACGTTCAAGAAGAGTCCTCATGTACTTTAGTAGTTGAACTACGAGCTGTTGTCTTGCATCTTTGGTTACCGCATTCAAGGACTCTGTAATATTTGATTTCATCGTCCATGTTTGGTTCACTGTAGCATATACCCGAGACCATTTGTGATAACTAATATCGTGTAGGTATGCTTTAACATGCGTGTCAATCTCTTCAATCTTTGACATTCTTTCATTAAGTTCATCAAGCGTGTATGATCGTGCCGTGAAAAAGTATAACTCGCTTAACATTAGATGACCTTTCTTGAACTTTGACCTTACATTTGTCCAAATATGCCACACGCAAGCATAATGTGGCATGCCAGTATAAATCGTAGATGCTGCCTTCAATATACTCTCATTCTGGTCCGAAACAACACACATATTTAGTTTTTCACCATATGCATGTTTGAATTGCTCAAAAATCCATCTCCATGATGTGTCATTTTCTAAATCAACAACGGCATATGCTAATGGTAATATACTACCTATCACATATGTAGCAAAAAGAAATTCAATTTCAGTAATAAAACTTGAAAATATCAAAAATACATTTTCAGAAACAACTTTAATACAATATTTTTACCAATTAATCTACAATACTTGTTGCATCCATTGTGCTTGTTGTTAGCATGATTCCCCTATATGCCGAGTTCAAGAAGGTACCATCGACTACTACAACTAGCCTACAATGCTCCCAACCCTTGATGGATGTACTAAGAGCAACAAATACATACAAGAAATAATCATCTTCAGTCTTCTGCAATTTGACTATCGACCCCAGATAAGTCTTCTCCAATATATACAAATAACTCGGCAACCGACTGTAGGAATCAGCAGGATGACCTCTCAAAAATTCCAAAGCCTTTTCCTTTGCTCTCCAAGCTTGCATGTATGTTAAGTTCACACCATGTTCCGATAACATGTCGATTTGTATGTCTTTTGGTGTGTATATTGTCTTAGGATCCGCATATTTTGACATGACCATGCTGCCAACTACCAAGACAGTAGCTTTGCATTGTATATATGTGTTGTCCATTAATGAGCATGTGTGCAAGATGTTGAATTTTCGAATCTTGAACAATGCTGATTCATTTATACTTGTGGACTTGAAGTGTCATGTACAACTATCACCAACACATACAAGGCAATAGCTACAAAATAAAAACAATGATAAAAATGTTAGGCAAATTGTAGTTACCAAGAAATCAGGTTTTTTATGCACAACAAATTATTCAAAATAATTTATATACAATTTATATACATAAAAACTACAAATTATACATTATATGATTTTGACAAATAAAATGTTCTTACCTTCTTGCACTAGACCTTTTCACCCTAAATGGAAACTTATTCATAACAGCATAGTACTTCATTGCACTGACAATTGTTTGCTTGTCTTGGTAAACTTAGCCTACTTCAATTACTTTTGGCGTATGTTCTGTTATGATTATACTTTCATATTCCACAATTGCTGGGGATGTTGGCATATCAATCAACTTCACTGTTCCTGATACTTCTCCAAACGTGTTACAATTGCTTGACAATTGTACCACGTTAGTATTACGTTAATCAGACGTACCTGCACTCATTTAAAAGTATAGTAATTCAGACCTCTATATATCCAGGTGTTCAGTATTTGACAGAAATAAAATTTGTAATATACTTGTAGATACTTTGTTCTGTGATCATAATTTGCTTTTTTCAAACCTTAGTTACTATGTAACCGTTACACTCCAATTATTTTTAGAGACATAACAGTTGAACTACATTTGTTATGTAGTATAGTTGTAGATAATTTATAGTAAAATTATAGAACACTTGGAATTGCAAAACATCATAACTAAAAAAACAGAGCAAACCTGCAATTGTACTCGCATTCGACATACTGCATTTCAAATCGAAATCTCTTACTGTTATACACAGTGAATACATTCCTAAGTTTTTGTTTTCCTTTTTCATCTCCATATATACTCGAACTCCCATATCGTTTCGAATTTTCATTGGAGGATAACGTTCTTTGACAGTGTATTTGATCTCGATGACTTTTACAGAAGTATCGATTATTAGATGCTCTGGAATTGCGAAATTCAATTGACTATAATTTATATCTTCATTCACTATAATTCCATTAACATCAAAATCTATATGTCTCCCAAAGCTATCCCACCGGCCATTGAGCTGAAGCATTATCGCCAATTTTGACATTATATCATCAAATTCAATTCAATTGTAGAGAAAACAATTATGCAACACTATGAAAACTTTAGAATGTAGCTACATGTTCAGCGTTGATTGTCAATACTTCACGTTAATCTACAATTGTTTTCTTTAGAAGTTTTTTTTTTTGAATTTGTTGTCTTGTTTATGAAAACCCAGAGGAAATCTGCGTAAAAGAAGGATTCTGCAGATTTGTTTCCTTGTTTATGGGGCGATGATTGCGTCTAAATTTTGGAACTGAGATATACGTTGACCCAAAATTACGCGTCTAAAAAAAGAAGTCTACCGAAGAAAGGAGTCTATTTTAAACGAATGTATATTTTTTGTAACTAAAACGTGTTTAGTCGGGTAATAAGGTTTTAGTAATAAGGTTTCATATAGTGTATAGGAAAGAAAATATTCCTCGATGTTATTGGGTTCAAGCCCATGTAGATCAACTGAGCAATATACATTCAACTATTTTCTCCATCTAAGTCTTTTGTTGGGCTACAAGATGATCGCACAAACCAAAGTGAAAAAGAAATCGGCAATATGTTCAGATGTAAGTATATATTGCCAAGATAAATGGAAAAACTTAGTTAAATCCATTGTCGTAACTTGCTGTCACGATCCAATTTCTCCTATAGGCCGTGATGGCGCCCAATGTTGCCGCTAGGCAAGCCAACGGTGAACTAAACATGTAACTACTCTTTTAATAAGTTCCCAAATAATTAAATTTTATTTATTAAGAGATTAAGGAGTAGAAAATTTAATAAAATAAAACGAAGGCAACTGAGTGGATAAATATAGAGACAGAAATACACCAAAATTATAAAGTCTACTAGTATGTATGCCAAGACCTAGGTGTTGCAGAACGGCTCAGGAAGCAGCTCACCACTAAGCCTCGGGGTAACAGGGGTGCTCGCCGATATGACCGCCAGATGCACCTGCCTCAGATCCTGAACGATTAGTGCAGAAGTATAGCGTGAGTACATAAACAACATATACCCAGTAAGTATCTAGTCTAACCTCGAAGAAGTAGTGACGAGGAGTCGACTTCGACACTTACTATGGGCTAATAATAAAATACAAAAATTCTAAATACGTATGGGTCATGTAAATAATAATAAAACTCAATAACAAGCAGTGAATAAATCATTCTTTCACTAATAGTAAATCCCAAGTTAATTTCCATAATTTAATAATTTTAACCTTTCAGGACATAAAACAATATCACGTATAATTAGGCTCCGAGTATTATTACGTACGATTCATGTCGATGTCGTACGACCCGATCCAGAATAATATGTACACTGCCGAGGGTCGAGCGGCGCGAACCATAAATGCATTTATTCTACTGCCGAGGCGTTCGGCCCGCTCTACAAGAAGAGAGGATACTTTATAAATATCCTATTTAAAACCTATTACAAGGCTAACTCACAAAGAAGCACAAATTCTATTAACAGTCAAGTAACCCGTCAAAACTCAAGTAAGTGGAAGTCGGTCTTTTACAATTTCTCTATCAAGTTCCCATATAATTTAGGCACTTTAATCAACAAATAAAGTGCAAACATTACAAGTATTTCATGATTTGAGTCCTAAACTACCCGGACATAAGTATAATTAGTAGCTACGCACGGACTCTAGTCACCTCGTGCGTACGTAGCCCTCACAATTAGAAGCAAATAGCAGTTTAAAGCACCAATGGGGTAAATTCCCTCTTACAAGGTTAGGCAAGAGACTTACCTTGTCTCAAAGCTCACTTTCCGACCTCAAATTCACTCTAAAGCCTTAACTCGATGCCGAACAATCCGAAACTAATCAAATATTGTGTAAATTAATTAATACATGTTCAAAAGTTCATAATCTAACTATTAGAGTGATCACCCAACCCCACTTAGAAGATTTATAAAATTCATCCCCGGTCCACGTGCCTGAATTCCGAAAATATTTGAAGATAAGTTTTACCCATAACCTCACGAACTCAAATATATAATTTTCACCCAATTCGATAACCATTTTCGTGGTTAAATCCTATTTTTATCAAAACCTATGTTTTTCATCTAAACCCAAAATTCTCACAATTTTACATATTAAAATCTACCAATAATCTTTATATTTAACTTACATTGGGTAGGAATTACTTACCTTCAAACTGTTAGGTGAAAATTCCCCTTCAAAGAGCTCTATATTCGACCAACAAGTGAGAGAAATGAAGAAATAAACCTAAGTCTCGACTTAAATGCAACCCTTCTGCCCAGCGGTTTTTTCGCACCTGCGGAAGGATCTCAGCTTCTATGGTCAACTGTCTGCATCTGCAGAACACGCTCGACCCATGACCCATCGCACCTGTGGCCAATTCCCACATCTTCGAGCCCGCTTCTACGGCTCGCCTCGCGCACCTGCGACCATTGCCAGGCTGCCTCCCTCCGCATCAGCAGACCTCTTCATCGTAGAGGCGAGTTCGCTTCTACGGAAATGCTTCGTTTCTGCGGAGCTCACTGACCCTTCCCCTTTTCTCTTCTACGAGCAAGGCGACATATCTGCGGTGCCGCTTCTGCGGCCATTCTACCGCAGGTGCGAACGCACTAGATGACAGGCACCAGCAGCTCTTCTCCTAATTTAAACTTGATCCGCGCATCGTCCGAATAGCACCCGGGGCCCCCCGGGGCCTCGCCCAAGCATACCAACAAGTTTGTAAACATAAAACGGAATCGCTCGCACCCTCAGATAGCAGAAAACAATATTAAAACTAAGAATCGCAACCCAAAACCAATAAAGTCAACTTATGAACTTCAAATTCTTCCAACTTACTTCGAACACGCTGATTCATACTTAAACTACTCGGAATGATACCAGATTTTGCGTGCAAGTCTTAAATCACCATACAGAATTGTTCCCGGGCTCGAAATTCCAAACAGACCTTGATAACACCAAAACCTACTCCAAACCAACTTTCAACTTTAGGCGCCGAAATGCTCTCGGGTCACCCCAAAACCCGATCCGAACACACGCCCAAGTCTAAAATCATCATACGAACCTATTGGGAGCGTCAAATCCCAGTTTCGAGGTCGTTTACTAGAAATGTTGACCCAAGTCAAACTTGACCCCTTTAAAGCTAATAACAAGGAACTAAGTGTTCCGATTCCAAACCCGAACCCTTCCAAACCCGAACTAACCATCCCCGCAAGTCATAAAATCGTAGAAGCACATACAGGGAGTCATATTTAAGGGAACGGGGATCTAGAAAGTAAAACGACCGATTGAGTCGTTACACTAGCAACATGGATCATTCTCAACTACTCACTTTTCTTTTGAGTGATTCCACGCCATGCTTTTATGTAGTGCCACAGTTCCTACACCACGACTAAAACGAAAAGTTCGACGTGGCACCCAAAAAAAAAAAAAGGAAACACATGTTATATATATAAAAAAGTCACTTCTAAATGACAAGGGAAGTCGTCAAGATTTTATATGATTTCAGTGTTGGAAAGTTTGAATGACTTATAAATCTCCAAGTTCTTTGAATATAAATCTTCCTCTTTTCTCACTTCTCTTCCTTTCTCTTACTCCTCGGAGCTCTCATTTGTCAGAGTTCAAATCTGAATAGTGCACACATATAAAATGGCAATGAGACGGTTCGGATGCGGGACAGGTTTACGACTATGCAGGGTAGGGCGGTTTTGCAGGAATGCTGGCAGGGCAGGGCAGGGTGGGTTACAC